CCAGCTTCTCCCTAGGTTCTCCATGGCAGGCAGAATAGGGCCTTTCAGAAAGAACCTCCAAAGCGTCCCAGGGTCGTTTGGGCAGATCCTGTTAACTGAACACAAACAGGCTTTCATTGCTGAGCCATTGATCCTGGGATCTCGGTCTGAGGCCCAGCATGGGTAGTGCTGCTTTGGAGAACACAAAAGGTCAAACCCATAAAACTGACACGGATGGGAAGTCTTCAGTTCTTTCATGGAACTTCCCGGAATTGGGAAAGGCCCGTGTTGATGGGAACTGGTGTTTATCCCAGAACGGACAAGAAACTGAAACCTGCCATGTATTTGGTAGGACTGAAGAGCCCTCTAGTGGCAGCGGAAGCACACGACCCACGTAACTTCAGAAAAGTTCAATTATGCATTAATTACATTTAATTGTCCATGACCTCAAACTATCTGTGGGTAATTTCAATGAAGCCTTGTCATTGCTAAATGAAAATTAAAAGAGCAAAGGAAGCCATTTGTCATTTAATAAATAGGTAAAGAGTTTTTTGTTGTTAATACTCATTGAGGAGAAAAGTAGAAAAACAGACCCACATTCTTAGGGCGGGAGAGTAAACAGAACCTCAGGCAGCAGGCTGGCGGCACGCGTGGGAGCATGAAGAACGCATGAGCCCTCGGACCCAGCAGCGTCACGTCCACCATCGTGCTAAGGACAAGACAGCTCGTGCCCAAAGCGCTCTTCTCTAAGCACCGTTTGATCTATTTTATGTATTTCTTTTATTATTGTGGACAGTATTATAGATGTCTCTCTCCTCCCCCTTAACCCCCTCCACCAGCACTGTTTGACTTAATAAGAAGGGGAGCACCCAAATGTTCAAAAACACTTAGATCAGTACGTTATGGGGCAGCGTGTTAAAGTGATGTCAGACAAATACATTTCGTATTAAGTGAACAAGAATACAAAGCAGCGTAGGCAGGACCATCTCATTTTTGCAGTCCAGTGTCGGAAGGGCCTGTAAGGATGGGAAAGGCGGGACGACCGGTTCTCCGTGGAGAGGGTGGTGGGTGGGTGATGGCAGTCTGAAAGTGCGCTCTGAAGTTTTGACTACTGAATACAGGTTTTGCAATCACAGTAAGACAGCGCCGGGTTTCTGGCAGATGTGTTTCAGAGCTCAGCCTGTCTGCCTGCTGCTTCTGCAGTGTCCCCCGTCCCTTGCCCGAGTCAGCAGCCCTCTGTCCCTCCCACATCCGTTCTTGGACAAGGAAGATGAGCCCTTCTCCCTCCAAGGTCACCTTCCTGGGGGAGGTTTCCTCCTGGGGGCCCAGTGTTACATGCCTGTCCTCTCTGCCCAGCACCAAGCACGTCACAGGCATCCTCCAGCCAGCTCACCACTGAGGAAGGTCAGGGAAACCAGGGCCTTGAGCCCGGAGGACAGGGCAGTGGTGGTTTCAGAGCTCTCCTGCCGGATGAAAGGTGGCGAGAGGACACGGGTTAAGGGTAACCGGATTCTATGGAGCAGACAGCTGCCTACCATAGGGCGTAGCTGGGTGCTGTGGGTACTGGCGCCGGCCTGGGGGGTGCCAGGCAGACCCGGTCTCGCTCCGGGCTCCACCGCTTCTCCAGTGCTGGTGGGCACATGGCTTACCCCTCTCTCTGCCTCAGTGACCTCATCTGTGAGAGGGACAAGGCGTGGACAAGCTTGGCATAGCATGTGGCATGTGGCGAGTGAGGGTGTCCTGGACATGGAGGCATTTGGTAAAGGGTCGTTCCCCGTATTGTTATCGTCAAAGAACTTGCTGGGGAAATGTTTTCTGTTTCATTTGATAATAATTGAACGTTTCCAAAACATGTCACCTGCGCCGCTCTCCACACGGCGCTGTGTGCCCCAGAGCAGGTGTGGCTGGCGCACAGGAAGCGTGGCGTCCCCCACCGGGTCAGGGAGGGCAGGCGGTTCAGGGAACAATCAGTCACTTTCGCGTTTAACGGAATGCTGTGGCCGGGACTTCAACCCCACTGTGAGCCGGGGCCTAGAAGTAACCTCCGTGGAGAGGGTGGTGGGTGGGTGACGGCAGTCTGAAAGTGCGCTCTGAAGTTTTGACTAATGAATACAGGTTTTGCAATCACAGTAAGAAAGGACCAGGTTTCTGGCAGATGTGTTTCAGAGCTCAGCCTGTCTGCCTGCTGCTTCTGCAGTGTCCCCTGTCCCTCCCACATCCGTTCTTGGACAAGGAAGATGAGCCCTTCTCCCTCCAAGGTCACCTTCCTGGGGGAGGTTTCCTCCTGGGGGCCCAGTGTTACATGCCTGTCCTCTCTGCCCAGCACCGAGCACGTCACAGGCATCCTCCAGCCAGCTCACCACTGAGGAAGGTCAGGGAAACCAGGGCCTTGAGCTCAGAGGACAGGGCAGTGGTGGTTTCAGAGCTCTCCTGCCGGATGAAAGGTGGCGAGAGGACACGGGTTAAGGGTAACCGGATTCTATGGAGCAGACAGCTGCCTACCATAGGGCGTGGCTGGGTGCTGTGGGTACTGGCGCCGGCCTGGGGGGTGCCAGGCAGACCCGGTCTCGCTCCGGGCTCCACCGCTTCTCCAGTGCTGGTGGGCACATGGCTTACCCCTCTCTCTGCCTCAGTGACCTCATCTGTGAGAGGGACAAGGCGTGGACAAGCTTGGCATAGCATGTGGCATGTGGCGAGTGAGGGTGTCCTGGACATGGAGGCATTTGGTAAAGGGTCGTTCCCCGTATTGTTATCGTCAAAGAACTCGCTGGGGAAATGTTTTCTGTTTCATTTGATAATAATTGAACGTTTCCAAACCACGTCACCTGCGCCGCCCTCCACATGGCGCTGTGTGCCCCAGAGCAGGTGTGGCTGGCGCACAGGAAGCGGGGGGGGCCC